TTAATCATTATTATTCATATTAGGACGAAAAGATCAAACACGTTCAACGGTTTATATATCCAATAAAATTATTACACCCGATTCCAATTTACGTTCCACAGAAATGAAGCAAATAATTGCTATAGCTGAAGGCAGCTTCAGCAGCTAGAGCCAGCTTCACTACAATCCTGAAAAATAGAAAAATCTCAATGACTCCTAAAATAAGGATTCTAACGATCTAACTTAGGGTGGTCAACCCTGCTATACAGATGTAAAACTTAAAAGCTTGACAATAACGAAAGTCAGTGAGTGAAACTACAATTGAAACATTAGAAAAACAGAAATGTGGTCTCTAAGGAGGATTTTGAGAATTTTATAGAAGGGAAAGAAAACAAACACGCACTGAAAGGTGCCCACGTAGGCTGTTCACTAATAAGAACAATCAGAAACAGCAAATGCAGATTCTAGAATACTCACCGCCATAAAGGCTTTGGACATCTTGTCCTCACTAAAAACATAGAAGGCAAGGGGTTGACCCACAGAAACATATAACATCTCAACAGATGAGTGACGTGAAACGTCGGGGTAATTCATGTTATCTCAAATGTTCGCTGAGCGAGATCTTGGAACAAAGAATGCAACCAATAGTGCAAATACAATTAAGTGAACAGATGCCTGCTATGGAAACGGCTGAGGGAATAGGGAGTGAAAGGCCAACTCCTAAAAAGATCATGACTCTTTATGAGGTTAGCTTTTTTGGTGTAAGAAAAAAGAAGGACTCATTGACTGATTTCCAGTACAATGTATTATTAGGAGTCAGACAAAGATTTGTGCTTTCCCTAGTTCTATTTATTGCATGTTTGGACAGTGTCCTCAAGGAGGCAAATACACATTTGTAATAATAAAAAAAAACACGAGCGAATATGGACTCGTGTTAGCCGATGACCAGAGCATCTTAAATTCCAATAGCTTATACATGTAACAATATACAGAGAGCCTGAATGAAAAGTACAAAGATTATCAGATGAGAATTAGCGTTGCCAAAACAGAAGTAAAGAAAGTCAACTGAAATCCAGGCCGTTTAAACAATCGACGAGGCACAACTTAAACAGGTTGAGGATTTTAAATACCTGGGCAGAAGATTGGAGAGCAACATTGAAATGAGGACCCAAAAAGCAAATGCAGCAATTTACCATATGTCACCACTACTCACCCATAAAATATACCTATCAATCGAGGTAAAAAAAAACAACACCCTATCAACAACAATGGTTCCTCCCAAATCTGACTTACCAATGACAAACATGGCGGCTAAACATGGGACGAAAAGAGGTCTTCCACAAGAATATCATATCGACCAGATGCCACTCATCTGGCCCTTGACCTAAATGCATCCTCCCCCCCTTCGACACCTAGCGATAGCAAAATTAAAAGTGGATGGATGGACCCCGGGGTGTACCTAGCGAAATTGCAGTTTTAGGATAGGTGGACCCCAGACCAATGAAAAGCTGTCTGACGTCGTAAAAATAGGATAAGGCTTAAAAAAACAACAACAACAAAATAAAGAAACGAAAAAACATGGCGAACAGACTCGGTTCGAATTTAAAAGTATACTTTTACCTAAATAGCAAATCATCATTTTTCTTTTTTACTTTAAAAAAAGTGATTGGTTTGCTTTTCTTTTTTCTCGGTAAATCCTCGTATATTTGACCAAATCGGGAGTAACAGCAGCAGCTACAATGGTAGGCACCTGTGCCACGTGAGTGGGAGTGTGCACGTGCGTGCGTGCGTGCGTGCGTGCGTGCGTGTGCGTGTGTGTGCGTGTGTGTGAGTGTGTTTATGTGTGTTCGGTGACAAGGTGTATGCGTGTGTAGGGATGCATTGGTATGAGTATGTGTGTGTGTGTGTGTGTGTGTG